CAGATTATTCGATACGATTTTTTTCAGCCGGCATGGGTGTTTGTATATTGTGTCAACCGGGTCTATAGAGCTGTGTGACCGTTCTGACCATACCCCCCTTGTGGGGTGATGTTCCTTTCAGGACACATCACCCCACTATTTTCACAATAGAAAAACATCGCCCCAGAAGAGAATCTTTAGAAAAAGGGATAATGGGAACACCATGCTATCACCCCACAATTCCATCTGGCTAGACCGGACGTTCCGCAGATACCTTTTTTTCTTCTGCATCTCGGTAAAACCATTGACCGTTATACCTATGCGTGAAACATGAGCGATGAACGAATATAATGTCACTCGATTCAGAGTATTAAAGTTGTTATAGTTTATATTCCACGGCGGTTAGTGCACGGTTTTGCTATGTCGTGCTGCGCATCGGTGCATGCTGCGAATGGTGGCAGCGATTATCGCAGGTGTATCTCTATATACCACAAAAGGGAAATTCATCCAATAGAAAATTTCAAATCTAAGAAAGGGACCGAATTAAATATTTCCATTTGGATATCTTCACGAAGAGCAGAAAAAAAATCAAAATGTGTCACCCTGTGGAGTGAATTCATCAAAACAGCATCGGGAACGGGCCTTCTGCATGGCAAAACTAGGGGGACAAAAAGCTGGAGGGGACAGAATAACCCGGAGCGGGACAGAATTAACGGGCTTAGGGACACTTTTACCTAGGTAATCCTTTCCCCTCCGTTTTACCAGGGGACAGAATAACCGTCCACACCGGCATTAGAGGCAACTGTAGGCTACTTTTGTTTGCTGCTAAAGCCCTAGCCCTGGGCAACGACGAGGACTTTTGAAAGCATCGCTTCAGGACGTACATTCCTCTCGTTGTTTCGTAGATCTGCATACAGTGTTGCAATGTACTCATCTCACCTTTCAGTTTCTTTAATCAAACCAAGCTCCTTCATTGTTTCAGGCGGAATGTTAGTGGGAGGGCATGCAGTGGAAACAAAGTACCGCCCACATGTTTCACTTTCGAGAAACTTGCATTTTCTTTTGATGTGAACCGAGAAATTATTATGCGATTAAAGAAATATCCTGTGGTGGAAAAAATGCCAGGTCCCCCAAAGACAATTAAACAGGGTCCCTAGGAATGATCGTGGTATAAAGACAACGAAAGTGGCTTGGGTAGGCCTACATCGTTTCGCCTACGCGATTTGGTTGTTCCACAGCCGCAAAAGAAATCCCTGCTTTAAAACCCCGGATCAGATCGAGGAATTTGCGTTTAAAAACACCAGAAAAAAAACCAACATAGTTTCGTTCTTTTGCAAAATCAACGGAAAGAAAGGCGAACAAAGCGATTTGCGAAGCCCACGCGTACGCGAACCGCGAGGGACAATCACACAATGTGTACACTATCGTAGTACACGTTTACTGTTGTATACCCGTCACAGTGACGAACATTGAACTTTCACTATTACTTAACAGTATCTGCCCCTTTTTTTCCCTTATGGCCTCAGATTACTGGGTTGATACGCAGATAAACCTAGATCAAAATGACGTATTGTTGGTAAAATTTGAAACAATTTTGTCCCAACTACTGGGTTGATACGCAGATAAACCTATATCAAAATGACGTATTGTTGGTAAAATTTGAAACAATTTTGTCCCAACTTTCGTTCACGAAAGAAAAACCTTTCGTAAATTGCTGTTCATTAGCTTTTTGTAAATGGCGTTGTTGGAACAGAGCGTCTAGAAAATCAGAAATATCCCCTAAAATTCCAAACTTTAATTCTAAGATTCTGCCGATTCGTGGAAGGACGGGGGATGTCCGTTTTGTGTTTTAAACGGCGACGTTTGAAAATCCGGGTTTTTGTATAATTAATTTGGCTTGTGTTTGTTAATCGATAATTATGGATGAAAAATGATGCTCTCTTGCAATTTATTTTGAAAGTTAACCTTTAGAAAAAGACGAATGCGCTGCTGCTGAGTAGCGCAGAGATACTCCGACACAAAGGAATGCATTAATATTCCGAAATGGGGAGTTTGTTGAGAATTGTCAGAATGACATTCCGGAGAAAATCCTTAGCATCTATCTCACTCCGTAATTATTAGAACCAATAGGTTATTCAAAATGGTTTTTAAAAATTTTTTTTAAAGATCGTCATATACTTTGTTAGAAAATAAATATCATCTTACGAACATAATTCGAATCTATATTAACTAAGCCTCTGTGCCAATAAAACAAAAATAAAAAATAAAATCTGCAAAAACACTTCCGTCCTCGAGATTGCAAGCTTGGGGAGCAGTAGGCATACCTCATTCTTCAAGTTTTCATCACTCATTTTCGCTCACAAATTGTGCTTTTCTGTTTTCAGCGTGGCGATTTTTTGTATTGCCGGTTATGCAACGAGTTGCTCACTCAGATAGCCTTGTCCTTTGTTTAGCAGAGCCCCCTTTGCTTAAAGAGTTATCCTTTATTTTCGTCTGTACACCGTTTTTTTAATTTTCCACGGGAACAAAGAGAGATTTTTATGCGCAGTCATGGGTCGTGAAGGAAAAATGTGTGGCCCCGATCAAAGTTGCGCAACGAAGTGTCATGAGGGCAGTACCGATCGGACCATCAAAAAGACCCCAGTGCGAACCCTTCCAATAAGTCAATGGTGCGGACTTGGTCTGAACACCACCCCCCTTCCTCCCCCCCCCCCCAAAAAAGAAACATACTTTCGTTCTTTTGCAAATCAACGGAAAGAAAGTCGAACAAAGTGATTTGCAAAGCCCACGCGTACACGAACCGCGCAAGGGACAATCACACAATGTGAACAAAGGCACGTCTACTGTTCTATAAACCCGTCACCGTGACAAAAATTGCACTTTCACTAATACTTGAAAGTAACTCCCCCCCCCCTTTCTTCCTTATATGGGCTCAGATTATTGGGTTAATACGCAGATAAAACCCAGATGAAAATGACGTATTGTTGGTAAAATTTGCAACAAATTTTGTCCAAAGTTTCGTTTGCGAAAGAGAAACCTTTCGTAAATTGCTGCTCATTAGCTTTTGTAAATGACGTTGTTGGAACAGAGCGTCTAGAAAATCAGAAATATTCCCTAAAATTCCAAACTTTAATTCTAAGATTCTGCCGATTCGTGTTTTAAACGGCGACGTTTGAAAATCCGGGTTTTTGTATAATTAATTTGGCATCTGTTTTGTTAATCGATAATTAAGCTTGTGTGGATTGATGCTCTATTGCAAGTTATTTCGAAATTTATCCTTAAACAGACGAATGCGATGCTGCTGAGGAGCGCAGAGATACCCTGAGACAAAGGAAGACATTAATATTCCGAAATGGGGAGTTTGTTGAGAATTGTCAGAATTACATTCCGGAGAAAATCCTTAGCATCTATCTCATTCCATATTACTACAAAGTCATCCCAAAACACTTTTTAAAACCAATTTCAAAAGATTGTTCATAATTATATGTTGGAATATCTTCTTACGAACGTTTGAAAATCTAGGTATTAAACATCTGTGCCAATAATAAAAAAAAACACTAAAATAGGTTCTGCAAAAACACTTTCGACCTCGAGCTTGCAGCTTGGGAAGGAGCATACCTTATTTCTTTAGTTTCAGCACCCATTTTTGCTCACGAATTATGCTTTTCTGTTTTCTGTGTGGCGATTTTTTGTGTATTGCCGATTATGCAACGACTTGCTCGCCCAGATAGCCTTGTCATTTTGTTCAGCAGAGCTCCCTTGCTTAAAGAGTTATCCTTTATTTTCCTCTGTACACCGTTGTTAAATCCTCCACGGGAACAAAGAGAGATTTTTTTGTGTATTGCCGGTTATGCAACGACTTGCCCGCCCAGATAGCCTTTTCCTTTGTTTAGCAGAGCCCCCTTTGCTTATAGAGTTATCCTTTATTTTCGTCTGTTCACCGTTTTTAAATTTTCCACGGGAAATAAGAGAGACTTTTGCTTAAAGAGTTATCCTTTTGCCCCCTTTGCTTAAAGAGTTATCCTTTATTTTCGTCTGTTCACCGTGTTAAAATTTTCCACGAGAACAAAGAGAGATTTTTTTTGCGCAGTCATGGGTCGTGAAGGAAAAATGTGTGGCCCTGATCAAAGTTACGCAACAACGAAGTGTCATGAGGGCAGTAGCGATCGGAACATAAAAAAATCCCCAGTGCGAATCCTTCCCGTAAGGTCAGCGTTGCGGGCTGGGTCTGAGCACCCTACCCTCTCCCTCCCCTCCCCTCCCCGAAACAATTTCATGGAAAAATACATGACCCCAGGGCACCCGCTATACTCAAATAACAGAAGTAAAGTCTGTAATAAATTAATCTTCATTACGTCATGGCACATCGTCATTTCAGTTTCATCATATATTTTCTGATAAACAGATAATCGTTTAACTAAAAGTTCCCCTCCTATTCCCTGCACAAATCCTCTAACAAAAGCCTTTCCATTCCTACTTGTTCTTTTTATTGATTGGAATGGCAATATCTGATTTTTCCGACTTGAAGAATTTTTGGACAACAATGGGCTGCACGCTGAGAAATTTTAAATAAATTCTAAACATTATTCCGATGTCGTTTCCCTTTTCCGCTTTTTTGTCCTCTCGGTAATCGATAATTCCTTGGATTAGCTATTTTAGTTTTACTGCCTGCATTAAGTTTTGCTTGCAACCCACGATTCCTTGAAAGAAAAGGGGGCATTTACGTCACATCGCAAGACGTGAGTTAAAAAAAAATATTCTTAATTATGAGCCCCGTATTGCAATAGTTCACTTTCCAAATACGGCTAGTTATTCCAATAATGTCATTAAGTGAGATTTTTTTCCGGCAATTATTTGTTTCTGTTACAATCCTTTTTGTTAATTTCGCCTGAAAATATTTTTCCTTCTTGAGGTTAATATGCGGATGTCCAGCGCAGCCAATCGTAAATGTACCACCCCCAAAAAAACTCAGGCGCAGAAGATTTTGTGACAAAAGAAGGTCTTCATTCAGGATGTAGAACTTCATCATGCTTGGGCTGGCCTCAGGTATTCGCATTGTTCTCGTCGAATCTCGGGGGATTCCCCCGTCTCACCGAAAAGAAATTGCGTCATGTTGCTCGAATTACCTGACGAGAGCACGGAAAGGTCACCGAGAGAATGGCCGGCCTAAGAGGTGTCAAAGCTATATAAAGGCGCCAATGAAAACGACTAAGGACAACACAAATCTGACAAACCAGACGCCTTGAGAAAGAAACGGCGCGAAAACTTCACACAAGTATCGAAAAGCTTGTTGACTCCGACTCCAATAATCATGGCTCTCGACAAGATGATTTTTCTGGCGTGCGTTCTCCTCCTCGCCACGGCCAACGCGACCCCGGTGATGAGGCGTGACACTGCGTCAGCGTCCACCGGCCAGTGCGCGCCGTTGACGGCCCAGAACCTCAGCGAGCTCCTCCTAGGACTCGAGGGAAACGCCACGTCCTTCGAGCCCCACTTTTCGTCGGTGAATACCGGCACCGGCACGGCCGTCCGTCCATGTCCCCTAAACACCGGCATCGTCTCGTCCATGGCTGTCAACGAGAGGGCCGTGTGCCCGTGGGACTACGAGCAAAGAGAGTACCCATCCCTGATTCCGAGGATCATCAACCGAGCCGTGCATCGGTGCAACGGCACTGGCAAGTGCATCGACCCGCGTACGGGTAAGTGAACTCCAATTACTCTTATGCACACCTAAACGAGGGCGCTGTTCTAGCTGTAATTTATATTTTTAAAAAATACCCTAATATCAGACCTGTGATTTGTATAAAAACCTATAGGAATAATTTGTGCCAATATATTCGCATTTTAAACGAAATTGTACTATTTGCAATAGGTTGCAATAGGTCGTCTTAGAAATAATTTGAAAAATAATACGAGAGTTAAATGAATATAATTCTGAGACTTGACAGGCATTGATTGTTGAAGATGTTGCCGAAATGAAAAGTAGGTTTTAAGCTTTAAAAAAACAAAACAAAAAAAACGGGTTTACAATGTAACAAAAAAAATCGCCTTTCTTATACGAGTTCCGATGTTCTAATGATCGTTCTCGCATTATTTCACGGACCAACTGTCGATGAGTCATACTCTTGCGTGGAAAAAGTGATAAAGGTAAACCCTCCTTTCCATTGAAAAAAAAGGACTTCCAAATCGTATCTTTGCGGTTAAATGACGAATTAGGAGAGGGGTTTCCTAAAGAAAACAAATCCGTGTCCACCTTTTGCGGTTTGGTACCGGAAATCGGGATACACCTCTAGCAGGGAATTCCCGCCGTATAGCCGAACGGAAACCCCAGCGGGCGGACTGACAAGGATGAGGCCATGCTCACGTGTTCTCGGTCTTTTTCTTTTACCCATTCCGTACGTGTGCGTTTCAAATTATATAACAATGAGTGAAAAGAGGAACTAGTCGCTGGAAATTATAAGATTCATTCCAGCGTGCTTCCTGTGCTTGGAAGGAGTTGTGAAACAAACAAAAGAAGTAAGCTCAAGGAGAAAAGGGGGAGAAAACGAAAACTGATGTTTTACTGGCTTAATAAGGCATTTTCATTAGATGATGTCAAATCTAAGGATCCATTTAATTCTATTCACTTACTAATTATGGGAAATCCCTGCAATCGTCATAGCATAGTAGACATGCTTATGAATAATGCATGAGTTCGTTTTCGTGGTTAGCAGTAAAGACGCACGTTTACCTTAAAAAGTTGTGCAAATCTGGTTGTACAAAACTAGACAAGGCTAACGCGTGAATAGCGATTATACACTTTTTAGCAAATCCTGCTTACGGTAGAGCGCTCTTCGACGTTACTACTGTGAACCATTAGCAGGAAATTCAAGTGTTCGCTTAACAGCTCCCTGAAATTATTATTCCCTCGATCAACAGGTGGCGCTATTTCACTTCATCGTCTATATATTATGCCTATTTGAATGTTCATTGGAAAGTGATTCATTGAGAAACATGTAGTTGGCATGTACACAGTCTTGTTTAGGTCGATATGTCTTTGCCCCACATGCGAATTCGATAGCAAAAAACAAGGCACCGTGCCGTTTTTCAGAGATCATCACAAGTCATCACAAGTGCTCAACATAACTTCATAAATCATTTAGCCTCCTTTCAAGTCACAAGATATCTGAATGAGATATTACATTGTTTACCTCTGTTATACTTGTGATCTCAATTGTGATTTGACACGTGTTAAAATGCCTTATGATTGACTCGAGACAACTCTACCATTTTTACCGTTTACACGTTGCAACTATATACGTTCACCTGTATAGGTGGTGAGATCTCCGATGCTAACTGTGAGCCGATCAACTACAGGATGAAGGTGCTAAACCGGACCGAATGCGCAGACGGCAACTACACCTACCGAGTGGAATACCTGCAGGTTCCAGTAGCCTTCACCTGCAGCCGTCCCGTTACCAGACCTTAGTAAGGACACCACATCGCCTGTGAAGGTGCATGTACTACCGACAAAGGTGTCTTGTGACAGAGGTTAAGGAATTTGGGTTATCGTGGTAGCTGGTCCTACCAGGGAGGTGGGTGGGGGGAGGGTTGCAGGGACAAAAACTGAATGCCTTAAGGGGATGTAGAAAATATCGAGTAAAGACACATTCTTAATTGTCATCATCATACGGTGTGTGATGAAAACAAAAACAGGGTATCTAACATGATCGAAAAGGGTTTTCAAAAAACGGCTGAAGATATTTATATGAACTTAGATATTCTATATTTATTGATAATAAATTGTTTATGAAACTATTTTATAAAGATATATGAAATTATTTGTGTACGCAGAGAGGAGCTTTTGGCTGTAAGTTATAGTTGAGATAATTTATATTTTAAAGATTATATACAATTATTTATTTGTGTACTCAGACGGAGGGTTTCGAACCCATATAGTATAATTTATATTATAGTATACAAAATAGTATTGACTGCTTCGAGGGGTGTAGTAAAACTAGTCTCCCGACTTGATCCATGAAGTATTCTTTTTTTTTCCCGAGGCGAAGCTGAGGGAAAATAGAATGCTCCATGGATTACCGAGGGAGGCTAGTTTTACTAACACCACGAGATAAAGCAGTCAATATGTGTTTTATAACACCTCTCCCACAGATTCTGCTTGATTTTAGGCGATAACCTATATACAATAAAAAAATTGCTTTTATTTGAATACGAAATTAGTTGAAAATTTATTTGAACTTTTCCAAACTACCCCTTCACGAAATGTTTGAACCCAGCTCTGTAGCTTGCCCAGCTGCCCATGGACCAAAGGCACAGCAATTTTAATGTCTGCTGACGCTAGCGCTTGGGAACAATTCGCGCAACGCGCAACGGACACACCCGTAGGCATTTGTACACAATGCGTCTGGTACTTTGGTTGCTACGGGTATAGTACCTTGGTTGCTACCGTACGGGTGTAGTACTTGTGGCCGTGCACTGCAAACTGGCAAAAATAGAAAGTACCATGTGATTCAGAATCTGTGGGTTGGGTGTCATAATTTCTAATAAAAAAACTATTTCACTACCTCCCAAAGTACAAAGAATATATTTTTTCTAATATCTGTAAAATAAAGATAATATCTGTATATTTATTTCTATACCCATTTGTTTTTAATTCCAATTAGGTACAAAGAGCTAGCTATATTTTATCAGTAAATCCATAATAGATTACATCAATTACTTTCGTACTACATGTATTTGTTTAACCAATCAAAGCAGTGTGAATTTTTCGCTTACAATTTGGAAAATATTTTGAAATACTCTTAACATAGTTCAGTGTCTGTTCAAGCAGCAACACTCTTAAGTTTAGGATCAGCTTGTTATTGTGACAAAATGAATCCGTTGTTTACATTTTTTTGTGCAAAAAACAATGCAATTTATCTTTCGTTGAACATTTAGCAAACCAGACAATTAACTTAAAAAAGTATCCACTGTGTGGATTTTGATGTTCCTTACATTAAGGAGATTCCACTGTATGATCACGTGACGTGTCATGTGATAACACCCTACGGGTTATAGCAGAGTTGTAACGAGTCACTGATTTTTGTGACTCGAGTCGAGTCGAGTCATTTTAAAGAAGTGACTCGAGTCGAGTCGAGTCATTAGGTCAACAAGGTCGAGTCGAGTCACAGAGTGTGGTCGAGTCGAGTCGAGTCGAGTCAAGTATTTAGCTCGAGTCAATTCGAGTCACAAATATTTGAACACTTAATTACAATAAAAAGCAACAAACACAAGAGAGAAAGAATACAAGGCACCAGTCTATTACGGAAATCCAAAGACATAAAGTATGCTGTATGGTACCCAACCAACAGTTTCCATAGTTAGCTCACGTCACAGATAAGAAGATGTGAAACTTCGGTCTTATAACTGGTTTGGCTTCGGGTCTAGATTTTGTTGTTCGCTGATCGCTGACAACGTTAAAACCTAATTGCATTATACAAAACTGTTTCTGATTATTTAAAGGTGGGCCCGTCCGTATCCATTTTTTTGTGAGAAATCGGGACATGAATTTAGCCAGCGTTCCACCAAGAACTTCAAAATCGCCCGAAACCAATGATGAAACCACGGATTGAGAAATGCGTTTTAAGTCTGGTTCCGGGTTTAGCATTACATGCTATAGAACCACAAGGTGGGAGTCCGCGACACGGTGTATGTTTGTTGTTTCATTATGGAGGAAGGAAACAGACTGCCGCTGTATATAAACGTACATTATTCGCGAACATTAACATGACGTGAACAAAAACTGGCAACACGAACGGCGCAGCGTAAGTCATTGCAAATATTTTTCGCAAGTAAGTTTTGCTTTTATTTTGGGACTCGAGTCTTATTAGCCTTCCTCGAGTCGAGTCGAGTCATTCTGATGAGGGACTCGAGTCGAGTCGAGTCATTTGCTCGCAGTGACTCGAGTCGAGTCGAGTCATTTACCCGTCGGGACTCGAGTCGAGTCGAGTCGCCAAAAAATGTGACTCGAGTCGGACTCGAGTCGAGTCATTGACTCGAGTCATTACAACTCTGGGTTATAGTAAGGCACTATCGTGCGACTACCTCATATAAATAACGATATTATTAATCCTGCGATAGCTTTAAGTTTACACTTCATTAGTTGCATAAATCTTACTGCTCTGGTTTGTTTTTCTTCCTTTTTTTACGCAGATTGATTATTTTAAAGACAAAAGGCTTGTTTTGACAAAATTGATTTTAGCGCCTTTTTATTTTGCTAATAGGGCCTAGATTGAGAATGTGTTTGTAGATTGTGAAATATAAGTTTGGTTCAGAGGAAAAAACTGATGTCCGTTTGAACTTTTTGAGTGTTTGAATTGTACTCTCTTTACTCTAGGTGGCAAAGGAAATGTTTTTTTCCCACTCCAACATTTTCCCATTTCATCTTGTTTTGAAAGAGTCAGATTAATTTTAGATGTATTTTTTGGGCACAAAATAATGCAGATTTCATTTCGTGGTCCTATTTTTAATTGACGTGTCTAACAAAGACAATGATAACCAATCAAAACAAGTATTTATTACAAACAAAAATCCAACAAAACCGATTACACCATTACATCAAAATAAAACTGCCAACAATATGGTTTAAAGTTAAGATTCCAGTAAAACAACCGCCCACTCCTGATTGTAAGTCCTGTTTTTCAATCAATGAACTCTAAATTGACATTATACTATTCAAACAATATGCGAGTTTCGGTTGCAGTTCCTTTGCACAACGGCAAAATCTAATCCAAACGAATAATTAGCTCGATTGACAAAGCAGGTGTACAAAAGGCTTGGTTCTCCACACATTATAATGGGCGATAAAAGAACCACTCTATTCACTATACTGTGGTTTCGAAAGCTATAGTGTTTTTTTCTCCAAAAGTACTTTTTATGATCACAATGCAGGATATATACCGCTGATATTAAAGGTTAAGAAGACAATGGGTACGTTGTGGGTTAAACTTCAGTGGGTGTATCTCTCCCAATTATATCTGGAAAATGTCAAGTGTACTCTCTCGACAGGGTTTTGATACGTCAATAATTGCTCTGGCATTTTCATTTCAGGATTTTGACATTGTAAACTCTCTTTGTTTTTAAGCATCAAGGAAAAACGCTATGACGTCACTGATTGTGTTGGCAGCTGTGCCCGAAACATATCCTAAGCTAGGCCAATCAACGACTTTTTTTGATGACGTTACCATGATTTGCATAAGGCTATGCATAAGCTGGGTACAATGCTGTACATCCGCTTATCGTATTTCATATAATAATCTTTACAAATCAATCTTTTTTAACCAGCATGCACTTTTAACGTTACGAGCAACTGTTTACACTACACCGATAATTTAAGCACACGTTTCGGTGTTTAGGCACAATACATTTCGGTAAAAAAATGCTTTCACTTTAGCAACGCCGAAAGTTATTCTTAAGAACAACTTAAATCGGCTTTATGTACTTTCGTGAGTGATTTCGCCCATGCATTTTTGCTTTGAAAAAAAAACTCATTTTACTCACACTGTGAAAACTCTAACAACCGATTTCTTTTTCTATGATTCCCTTCAGTGTTTCTCTTCATTTTGCTACGGATAAACCTAACCCCAAAATGTCTCTACCCCCCCCCCCCCCCTAGGGAGGGGGAAACACTATGTGGACGTGGGCAAGTCCACACAACGTCGCTGCTACCTGGTTTGTATGTGGACTTCTTTTGTTCGGAAGTCCACACAGTGAATGTTATGCTTGTACACCCCATGTTCCCGGTACCCCCAAAAATCGGTGGAACAATTTTATTTTTAATTTTATCATTTGGCAATGAAGGTGCACTGAAAAGCAACAGTTTGTTCCAAGTTCTCCACGTCATATGTCATGACACCTCCGGGTTGTTCACATCCCTTTTGGCGCAGCGCCTTGGTTTGGTAGGTCACGGGTTCACATCTCGTTCCGGCTATGAGAGAGCCACCGGGACCTAAGCAGGCGCCGCACCGAGAAACGGCGTGGAACACGGTAGGCGGGTAGCGGGTTGGGTCACGGTCCACCACGAACCGCCACGGGCACGCTGCGAGCTCATGCACTGGTGCGTGCCGCGGAGGTTCCTCCCCGATAGGACAGTGCCAGTCTCCCGGAGTGACCCCTGAGTTAAGGTCAACTTGGCCGGCCTGGAAGATATCGCGAGGGTCTTGGACTAAGGATTGCTCGTGCTCGTCTGCCTCGTTGCCAGTGGGACTCATCACAATCCCACCGTTTGATAGCAGTTGGGCAAGGAGCTGAACATCGTCGGGAACGAGGCAGTCTGTCTTCCCGGGGTCAGATTTCACCGTTGACAGAAACAAAATGGCGACCATCAGTGCAGTACAGCACCTGGATAGGTGGGCCTTATGTAATCTTTGGAAGGACGTCGACTGAAGAAAAAAAAGAACACAAACACTGTTGAGAAATGACAACAAATACGTTTTGTGACAGCTAAATAATATTATGCCTTCAGCGAATGGGAGGGAAGACCTCATACGAATACAATGCGCCTATCGGAAAGAATATTGCAACCTGACGCTGCTTTTTTGCCTCATATATCATCTCAATGAAGGTCAGTCATGGCAAAAATGATGATAAGACATGAATCTGGGACTAATTTTCCTGACTCTCCCTAGACTTTGTACACAACTGCTGAAGTAGCGTCAGGTTTCAAATTTCTTTCCCGCATATCAATTGTTTCGCCCCCACCCCCCCCCCCCGGGCTGTCCAACCCAAAACGTGGGGATTGTCACTTTTGAAGTGACAAAATCCCTACCCCTCGGGCAAAATGTAAGTGACAATCTCCGACACACATACATGGGGCGCACTAGTGATTGCCTTTAATTCCATGTACTAGTACGCCAATGATAACAATGTTTTTGACTGTCCAAAATCCCCACCCTGGGGCATGAAAACGCGACCAAATCCCGACATCGGACCTGGGGCAGCGGGGCAGGGTGGGGGGGGGGGGGGAACAAACAATACAGATTTGAGTTTTATTCTTGTTTCAATACGAAAAGATTAAAGTGCGTTCTTTTTTCCCCTCTGCAACCTACGAGTGTCAATGTGTAAAATTACCAGAATTTTGAGGATGTAAAAATGCTGCAACAAGTGCTACTGAATCTGGGAACGGAACACATAGGAAATGTAGCTCTATTGCGCTTTAAATGCGGTCAGATTTCGAACGAAAGTCAACATAACAAAAACCTCGTGAGTGCTCTTTGGCCTCAAACCCGGATATGGAGAGATCGGATTGCTACACATGGATGGTACACAGTGATATGGTCTATATGGTGTGCGTTTGTGGTTGCAAATAGGGGAAACCCCAAACTTATATTACCAATGTTCTTCCCTGTCTGGTGAGCTTTCTGGTAAGCGAGTTTTAGTTTGACTGATGGGGTAAGCACTTAGCACAACAGGTCACCAGCCAAATTGTCATTGGGTTGTATACTGCCAAACTGACTGGTGCTCCGCGGATTTTTTGTTTTTGCTTATCATATCCCGAAGCAATATTTTCTTTTCAGGAGTTTTCGGGTGAATTGGACCCTAGTCTCAATTCGGGCACATTCGTAATTGTATACAAGAGATTTTCTGGATATTTCTGAGAAAAAAAAAATCGAATTAAAGTTTACGAAAGCGAATTCACGTCAACGTCATGACAGGTTGAACATTAGGCGTGCTGATTTCATCCGTGGTAAACATTTGTGGTTAATAATTCCGACTTGGGAGGAATTCGACCAAATTATACTGTTTAATACACACAAACTTAGGCCTACATTGACAAAAGTAATGAATCGTCAAAAATGGGTTTGAAAAGTCACACCTACCATTGTAGATCAACTTGAAATGCTGTCTGCCGAGACTCAGATTATGCGTCTGGGAAGGAGACTAGAGATATGGCAAACCTATGTCGACTCAAGTCGATAGTTGAGTGTCGAGCAAAAATGCAGAGACTCCGCAGACACGCACCGTCGATCTAGCAAGACAGCAAACTGTTTTTGGCTGTGGACAGATCGAAGTCAGTACGTTTATACGGGCAGAGCGGTATCAGTCCGATATGACTAATGCTGAGGCGGGAACAGAGCACACGCATGTACTGCATGTAGGTCTTGATGAGCACACGCGGGAAGCCGTGGTTTAAAATTTCTGGCGCAATGCCATATTTTTCTCTGAATCTTGGTCATGTGACTTTAATCGCGGCAGGCAATTCCTGGAATGAAAATGGCGGGAACAGACTCGTCCTTTGTGACTGCCCTTCCGATCCGCGGCACCACCAGAATTCAGCTGTCTGTCTGTTACTCTTTCATTTTCACATTTGGAGGCTTTTCATCTTTTGAACTTTCGTTTCTTTTTTTTCTTTTTGTCTCCCTTCCCCCTTCCTCAATTTGTTGTTGCGAACAAGTGGCCGTTGACCCATTTCGATCCTCAAAATGCGCATGCGCTCATCAATATTGAACGATTTAGTTTGTTTGGATCAACACAGAGCTAGAAGAATGAACACAAGTCAAAGGGGGGGGGGCAAATAGCACCCGAATCTGCAAATTGGGAATGCAACGAAAATGAAAGTAGAAGTTCACACTTCAGTAGACATCGAAGAAAGAAACACAAAATAGTGCAATGCAACTTTTCAAATATTTATTGTCTCCACAGCTCGAAGGCCTTCAAATACTTCTTAACTCCTTGATTTTGCACGCATATGGCAAATTATTTATGCTTCCGACAGTTTTGTGCGCATGTACAGTTGCGATGGTTAATGTATGGCGCCCTCGCATGAACGTCAGCATTTTGAGTTATTGTAGGCCTTTCTTTTGTTTGTAAACATTGGCGCCATTTTGTATGGGCTGCCGTAAGCGCATAAATTGAAGCCGTGGTTGGCAACATATTTTTCCAAAAAAGTCCTCATAACGCCACCAACACATGGTTAAATGACAAATGTGGGAATTATTTTGTAGCTTTGTTGAAAATGTTGTATTTTCAAGTATCAAATAATATTTTGGTGATCTGTAATAACTCTTCTTCATTTTTGCAGTGTTGGACCTTCCATAGTTTTTCAGGCCGTGGTTGGCAAAAGTGCAGTTTGCCAACCAAGCGCAGAAAGGTCTTAGTTCGCTGTTCCCAGTCAGTCTAGTATCCTCTTTGTATCTATATATCATTGACTAACTGACTGACTCCCCAACAGTCACTTGTAACCGTAGATTGGTTACCTATCTCACTGACTGACTGGCAATTGTGAATTAGTCTGGTTACAGGGGGGTTAAATTTTTTAGAAAATGGCACTTGCACATACGTGGTGAAATGTAGACACATTTTTTTCTCCGGACACTTGGCCTCCGTAAAATCAAAAAGCAGGGGGGGGGGAGGGGGGGGGGGGTTGACGGACATTAAATGGTGCTTTTAAGGGCGATACACTGACTGGCTTGTTTAAAGATATTATAGGGATTCATTTTTGCGCAGATAATTACCCTGGTGAACTCTACCTCTAACCAAACAATATAGGCAACGACTATGATTTTCGCCAAATGGCAGATTATTTGTTTACTTGTTGAGTCATCACATCCGATGTGTGTTTGCAGATTGCGATTATTCCCGCCGATAAATTCTTATATTTCATTCCATATCATCGTTGCCCAATCAGATCAATCCAAGGCGGTTCCCCTTCAAGCACAAATAAAAAGCTATTATTTAAATAGATAAACAAACAAGGTCACGAAAAAAATGACGGTCAACTATCCAATACAGGTAGAGGGCGGAAGGTCCATCTCACGTGGTAAATATTGACACACTCGGTACATGTACATAATAGTTGTTTCCGCCTTGGCTACGACCCAGTTGATGGACCAGTGTCCATGGGCGTCGCCAGGATTTTTTTCTAGAGGGGGGGGGGCAAAAATTTTTTTGCCAAAAAATGCCTGTATTTCTTAACACATTCTCGATTTATCAGTTTTAGAGGGGAGTTAGGGACATTTTGCCCCCCCCCAACCCATTAAATTTACACCCCTTTTTTTTTCTTCTTTTTTTTTTTTTGCTTTTCCATGGGGGCAAGTGCTTCCCCTTGCCCCCCCCCCCCCCCCCCGCCCATGCCAGTGTGGGAATTAATGCCATCGAGCTTTAGGATTTTTGACCGGTTTAGATAAGCCGAATTACACCTGTTATTCCGAAGATTTGAATTACGTGCATGATTCGCTCGCCGTTTGAAAGAGCAATGTATAAGCTTATCGTTGCATGGTTCGGAATCGACTGTTGCATCGTTCGGAATCGACTGTTGCGTTCGGGATCGACTATTGCATCGTTCGAAATCGACTGTTGCATCGTTCGGAATGACTCCACTGCAGAGTCTATCTGGTAGACAATTTGTGCATAAAAGTTCGACTGTCCTGAACGAAAATCTACTCGGGTTAACATGATTCGCTCTTGTTTTTTTTAGGGGGGGGGGGGTGGAGTCGAAACGACTATGGAACGCGGCAATGTGAAACGGGTACCACATAGAAAACAAATAATAAAATGGCTAATAATTGTAACATGTCATACGAGGGAAGGCTAAAACATCTCAAACTTCCAACCTTGGCCTATCGGTGCATACGAGGAGATATGATAGAAATGTACAAAATAATTAGCGGAAAGTATGACAACGAAGTCTCCAATTTCATCCCCTAAGCTCTAGTGTGACCAGAGGCCATCAGTATAAAATAAACTGAGGTCCGGACAAGGTTGGATGTCAGAAAGTACTCCTTTGTGCATCGATGTACTGACACGTGGAATAGCCTCCCTGAAGTCGTGGTTTCAGCTCCTAGGCCTAGTACACAGTCCTTTGAGGGCAGATTGGATAAGATGTGGGCTTCACACCCCTTTAAATATGACATAGACACCCCAGTATCCACCTCCACACTAGGGTTGCGCACAACAGAATTCAAATCTAGTTTTTATGAAGATCTGATACTAGAGTCCACACAAGGCCTTTCATCAGAAGAGGACATGTAAGTACCTGTAAGTATTCAACACTCAACGTGCATAGCAAATTGCAGTGTCACAGTGATTCGCATATTCCAACTTCGCTGAACCATATACGGCACGAAGCTTATTTCCCATACGGCACGAAGCTTATTTCCCATACTCCACCCACTCAACCCCACTTAGTCCACCCCCCCCCCCTTCAGGAAAATTCCAACTTACGGGGATCGGATCATGTTATGGCTCTTGTCACCCAGTCACCGTGACCGTGGTTCGAATCCTGTCAAGGCCTACGAGTGGATTCGAGTTTTCCCAGAACTGAGGTTTTCTAACAGCGTTGTTTAAAGGTGGATAAACAAACTCTGGAAACAGTTATTTACCGTTTTGAGTCATTCGTTTATTTTAGATTATCACAGCTATTAGTCTAGATTATCACAACAATTACAGCATAGATAACTGGAAATTGAACGTCCTCTTCATGTACAGTATCGCCACCCTAAAGCTATGGTTTCTTGATGGCGTAAATGTATCCAAAGGCGTTAATTAATGGATTACTTACAAAGTATTACAGATTCAAGCAAAAGTTCTCGGCTTAAAGTAAACGATTGACAGCAACATTCCATAAAATCTGTCCGAGATTTGTTTGGGCTAAATACATGAAAACTGTAAATTAAGAATTTTAAATCTACATCCGTGGTAAAAAAAAGAAAGAATCACACAGTCTAACTTTCAATCCAATCAACATTCGCCAATAAATTTAAAGATCGTGTTTGTAAAACATCGGCTTTGGGATGGAGAAAAAAAATATGCAGGATTCTTGAAACTGAACATGATGTAGGAAATGAGTAAATATTTCAACATCTAAACTTGTGCGTTATGTAATAACGTCTGTTGACAATCCGTAGGATTTACAGCATGGTGATACACCTTAATCGAGTTTACAAATCAGTAGCGTTTATACGACTATCGCAGACAGTCAGAAGTAAGTTTTGTGTCTCATTTTCAATGTGCATAATTCATATGCGAACATTGCACAAGATTTTCCATATACTCAATCAATATTTACAATCATCAGTTATCAACTTTCATTCAAAATAATAATAGTCACAGTGCATTTTACTAATTACTTTTGTGCAATTCACGAAATAATTACATCACTCTTTTTGAAAATTCGCTACAAACAGTGGTTTTACGTTTTAAAACTTATGTCAAAAATTTTAACATCAAATAAAAGTCAGATTCCGACAATTATCTTCACTAGGGTCAACCCATAAAAACCTGCTGCTTCAGGGAGGTTGATTCATCTAAAAAGGGTCAATATATAAAAAAAAACGTCATAATTATTGGAACAAAGCCTAAGTTGCCAAAAAAGTTCCGTCTTTACTAAGTCGTGAAACTATATTACGTAAGAATCAATTGGCCTAGTTCTGAGTACATGAGGGCGCTTCTACAGAGCCGTCGCTTAATAAAGATTACGTATTTGTCCATAGTGAGGGCGCTCTGTGAAAACTCTCTTCACAGCGGCTGTCTGCTTTATTTACCAATAACATCCCAATTTTGCCCAAAATGTGAGATACATCATTTTCTTCAAATTTAGGGCCGCAAACCTGGGGGTCTGTTCTGTGGCTGAGTCGAGAGCTGCATGCAGGCGCACGCAACGGGGACTTCTTCGAAGTCGAAGTCGTATCTGAAGAAACCATCCACGCATCCATTTCGTCTCAGTACTTGCTGTTTGTACATCACAGGACGGCACTGCATGTCCGGTGCTTCTTCGCCGGCCCGGTTTATGCAGCCCTGGCAGCTGCACATCGCGAAGGGGATCACGCTGGGGTATCGGTCGGGGTCGTAGTTTGTGTCGTAGGTCCACGGACAGGTCCACTTCGACTCGGACGACATCAAAGGACAGCTCAAGGTGGATCCGGACGACGACATCGTCGGCAGCTGCGTCGGAAGAGAGCCCGTCAGATTGAAGGGCAGGACCCCGAATGACTTGCGGGGGTCGAAGCGACCCGCATCGGTTATGGTGTAGATGAGTTCGGTCAATGGGCTAGAACACTCCACAGCGGGAAGGGGTTCGGCTCGCATGGGGGACAGAACGGCCAAGAAGAGCAGTGCGGACACGCTGAGTGCCACGGGAGACTTCCCCAGGAGCAAGAAGCCAATCTTCGTCAGGAAACCCGAGGTATGTCGGTGTTCTGCCATCGTAGTAGTGCCACAAAGGGAAATCTTTGCCTTGTCTCTGGATGTTGCTCTTGTATCTTGTCAGATCTATTTAAGCAGCTGTTTTTGATGCAGAGTGAGGCATGAGTGAATTTAAGCTCAGCAGAGAGGTTGTGATAATTCTGGGTGCAAATTCTCTTACTTTTAAGCCTTTCGCAGACCTCTTCAGGTCACAGAAATAGAACCATGACGACATCTTTATCATTTTTTTTCATATAATTTTTTTTTACAAAACTTCAAGATTGTGTGCATCCGTATGGGTGTGTGGGGAAAAAACCTCTTCATATAAAAATTAAACGAAAAAGTTCATTTTTGTGTGTTTTATAAAGGCTAACAAGTTAACAATGACCATTGGCATGGGCGTAACGGTGCTCCTCACGTTACCGAGGCGGACATTGGCTGGGTGGTAACAGCACGCGCTGCGGATTAAACGCCGCTTCTTATTGGCTGCAATGATTTGGTACAAAATTCATGTATAACTTTAAGAACGTAGATTCTGATTGGCTCCAAGCTGCTGAGAGTGCTCCACTTCTTCCCGGATTCATTTTTTTTGAAGACTATATAGAAACCTAAGCCGGATGTTTCTGTTTGTTTTGTTTGACATCCCAGCCCATCTTTCACTCACTTTTTTTTAATTTTTTTTTTTTAGAGTTTCTCTTCATATAATAACCCATCTGGTGGTCCATGAGCTAAATTTAGTACTTCTTTTTAATGACGTAACATCGTTCGATCGACTTGTGTTTTCGGAATAAAGATGGGACGTGGGACTTCGGGCAACCGATTATATAGGTAACAAACAAACACAATAACATTGTGAATTTGAAATTCTGCGAAGGTTTTCTGCGTCGGAGTATCAATCCTGGTTCTCTTAACATAAACTCTACCCTTCTGAACGCACGTGGGTCCAAATCAAGTGCTGATTTTGTCAGTATCGGATCTATGACATCACAAACAGCGAACTATGTACACGTTTAATTGCGGTACCACCCCAGCTAGTAGGGTGGACTTTAAACTCTATCTGAAGTTTGTTTATTCATTCCTTATTGTTGAAAACAGGAAATATCTGATCATGTCTGGTTGTTTTATTATCCGTCAGTGTTCTTGGTAGCTTCAGAACGAGGCCAAAGCAGGCCCATCGCTGGGGGGGGGGGGGGGGGGGGGGCAGGCAGAGGGGCCGCCCTCCTCCCCCTGGCGAGCAACTGCCCCCACCCCACATCGGCAAAAACCACAAGCGTACTATGTGTGTTTTTCTTGTGGTATGCCCCCTTAGCTGGTACTGTGCCCACCCCCACCCCCACCCCACCCCCTGTCCGGAGCTGGCGACACCGTGCTGGGCCCAGGCAAGGGGCGGATCCAGAACCTAATTTTCGGGACGGGGGCCAAGAGGGCTGGAGATTGATTATTTTTCAAAAAGAGGAAGGGGATTAAGTATATAGTATCGTGCGCTATGATATTTCCACATTGTAATAATTATAACTTACGGGTATGCTATGACGGCTTGCGAGGGAGATACGCAACATTTTAATTTATATCCAGAAAATTTATATCCAGAAAATATACGACAAAAAGGTGTCTGATTATTATTGGCGAAATATTACCACTGGAAGGCGAGTTTATTTTTTCCGCGTGCTTCATGAGTGTCAAAATGGGTCAGAAGTTTTCGTTTACAAATTGTATACGAGGAGAATTGAACATTTTTATACATTCAATGAAGTTTTAAGAACTGTTTGAATTATTCTAAGTCTGAAAACTTGAACGCGTTGTGAACTCGATGAGAAATTACGGACTTAAAACGGTCTTATTTGGAATATTCAACGATTCTTAAAAAAAACAACCTGTCGATTTCTATTCTAGCCTGCAGTCTGGGGTTTAAACCGGGCAATTTCAGCAGATTTTGTGAAAGTTGAATTTAAGTGTTTAAGTGTTTAAACGGAGGGTCCAGGAACAAGTTACAAACGGTTTTGACATTAGGTAGCGTCGTATTATAATTTTATATTTCAGACAAAAACTGTGAAATTGCTGAGCTTTATATACCGTCAAATGATAGACTTGATTACCTTCTATTTTACCAATTTTATAATTTTGAATGTTCACACACCCTAGGGAGTTTGCTTTAAACATCTCACAGTATAACGATTGATATTACTGAAATATTTTTACAAATTCGATAATGTTAGGTATTGAGCACTATTCCAAGTTGAATTATCATTTAAAAAAAAAATGCATTAAGCCGGCCTCAGGTCGACCCACGATTTGCTTGCCCAACGACGGAACCGTCAGCATCAACCAGAAAAACATGCTCAGGTCACCAAACTGAGAAATCGTGTGATTGTCGCGGAATACGTCGCAGAAGTTGAAATTGTTCTACTCTTGCGACTGGTGATTTTATTGAGCGCCAACTGATGCCGATCGTATTAATATCTTCGCAGTTACACTCAGTTCGCACAAAATCAGCGACTGATTTTTTCCCGACGGTCGTAGCTCAGACTCAGCTTAATCCTGAAAAGTCAATCGCCGACGGATTTGTGTCGTCGCAAGGTCGACCTGAGGCCGGCTCTAGGGTTCAGTTTATTATTTTCGTCGTCAATCCCGGGGCGTCGTCTGCTAGAAAAATACGCATCAACGTCTGCAGGAAGCCGTCCACGAAAAAACCCCGATAAATGCCGCTTAAATGACGGAGAGGTGAACAGACGTGCCTTCACGAACTTAAGAGGGGGTTGTTTTGCCTTATAACCCAAGACGACCTGTTTCTGGGTCATTGTGCTGTGATATTCATACTGAAATAATTATTTTCTCTATATAATCAGTCATAAAGCAAATAGAATCAGATCGTATGGCAAACTGAACTTTGAATTATACCATGACCCGTTTAAAACTGCACGTGATATCAGGGGCTAAAAGGGTGCACTGGTACCCGATAGACTGACATGTCAGTACGTACAAGACGAACGGATAGGCGTCTGGTCGCGGTTACCAGCCGAGAGGAGGATAACAATGCGCGAAAGAATCTGGACTGTGGTCATCTAGGCTGTGGTCATAAAAAAACATCGGTGAGCCGTCTGACCAGTGCACATCTATAGTTGCCGGTAAGTGACAGATTGTTGCTTTAACTGAGTTCAATTTGTTGCCAGGAATCGTTACACACGTCCGTTTGTATTACAGGGACACAAGTGAACAATGAAGGAAAATGTGCGATTATTCATATAAACAAAAATGTCTTCGGCACCCGAGCCGGTTTTGCCACGGCACTGAACTTGGGGTTAATGGGTTCTTGTGTGGATGAATATTTAGTTATTTCTGATTCTGTCGGTTAAGTTTTTCTTCATTCAATAGGGGACGTTGAATAATAGAGGACAATACCTGATAGGTGCCCAATTTGGATTCGTGTACACAAGATTTAGGAGGTCTTCCTTAAAATTTTGAGTACAAACAAAAGAGGGACAATATGGGGGTCCCCGATTGCAGGCAAATACACACTTATATTGAGTTTGTCTTACATACGCAGTGTGGACTTCCGAACAAAAGACGTCCACATAATGTAGGTAGCACCGACGTTGTGTGGACTTACCCCACGTCCACACAGTGTTTCCCCATTTCTGGAAAACAGGTTTAGAGGCATTTTTGGGTTAGGTTTATCTGTAGCAGAATGAAGAGAAACACTAAAGGGAATCATAGAAAAAAAATTGGGTTGAAAGAGTTTTCACAGTTTGAGAAAAATGAGTTTTTTCCACTGGTTTTTCTTAAAGGGAATATACATCATTTGCTTTTGCTGTAATTTCCAGAAATGGATGGAATTGGGGGGTTGGAAATATAAAGCAAATATAGTTACACTGACTTTTTGGAGGTTTTGGGTTCGAAAATGCTATAAAAACCAAGAAAAACGATCATTTTCCTGTAGTCTGGTTCCCTGACTCCATATAAGAAGAAACAGAGCAGTTTGCATACATTGGGGAATTGTAAGGTCAGGGAACCAGTCTAGCTGGCTCGTACCCGTTCATAGGTTTGTAATCGATTGCAAACAAGTGCAATGGTCAATTGGGGCCAGTGTTTGAAAAAAAGCCACTTGTTTCCAACGCTGATCGGCCGATCAGCGTTGGAAATTGATACAAAAATACAACTTTTCTTGAAAATGACAGTACACCAGGTGCCATAATTTTACAGGATGCTTTAGACTCTCATTTACCAACATCCTACTAAGGTATTTCGCAAAAACTTGGTAGTTTTATTTTTCGATGTTTGCAAATGTTGTATATTCCCTTTAACTACACGAAAGCAATGGAAAGTCCACACTAGTCATGTGAAACAAGTATGGGTGTGTGTGTGTGTGTGGGGTGTGTGTTGAGTTGAGGATGGGGTAGGTGTCGGTGATATGCTAGGACTGCCCTCAATGCTGAGGCGCCAAGTCTATTCATCGAGTATAGATTGAAGTACTTAGGGGGAAGGGCATGAGTACCACTCCTTGCCCCCGCTCTTTAATACTATTAGACAATATTCAGCGCCCCCTCCAAAGATGAGCTACAGATAGGCTACCGTTACTGATGTTCCTACGTCTGTCTTCTCCGTACTTTTCTAACCACTCTCTTTTGTGTTTGTAGGAGACGAATAACTCCGCTATTTCCAACTTTCCACCTGCTTCTTTTCCACCTGCCGAGCAGTCTCCTCAAATCGCCATGGCAACGCAAAAGCGAGTCCTTCTGTGGAGCGTGCCGCGATCTCTCTCCACCGTTCTCATGAGGGCGCTGTCACGTCTCCCCGATTCGCTGATCATCCACGAGTATCTGCTGTTATCAGGTTTGAACGAGGTGGGCCTGCGGGACTGTCCCGACGACTGGAAATCAGACTTGCCCGACATGGACACAGAACAAGGCTTCGATATCAAGTCATGGAAGGAGATGTACGAGCAGCCGTACCCTGGAAAATCCTTCATTCTTGGCAAAGAAATGAGCGACGGGCTGGGAGGACGGATGGAGATGATACCCGAAGGCTACACCCACGTCTTCCTGATGCGCCACCCTTTGAAATCAGTCACTTCTCTTGACAAATCACTCTCGTATTTCCCAGATGATGTAAGATTTTCCATGGTGAAGCCCAACAATTTCAAAGCTTTGGCTGGTGTGTATGACTATGTCACCACCACTCTCGGCCAGCCAGCGCCCGTGGTCTTAGACGCCGACGACCTGCTTGCAAAGCCCGGGGAGGCCTTGCGCCTGCTCTGCGAAGCCACTGGGATGCCTTTCAGCCAAGACCTACTCCGATGGGATCAGATGAAAGACGAGCCACCCGCCAACTGGTTAATGCCAAAGTTCATGTGGAGCAACAACAAGGAGGTCAGGCTCTTCAGTGCTGCCTTTGAGAGCACCTGCTTCCACTCCAACCAGGCAACCTCGGGAGCGGCAAAGGAGAAAGACGCCATTAAACCAGAACTCCAACAACTGATCCAAGATGCTTTGCCGTATTACAACTACCTGTACGAACATCGCTTAATTATCACAGGCTAGGAGAGAAAAAAATGTTGAAAAATTTCTGGGGAACAAATTTGAAAATTGGCTTCATATTGACAAAATCATTTCTTTTGTTTGTGTAAGGGCCTGTATGAATACTGCTTATGCGTTAAACTGCGGAGCCAACAACGAAATACGGGGTACCGAAAAAAACAATCAGCGATCAAATCGGCAAATGTTTGCTAGTTTAATTAAAATGCATTAATTTTTATTTGGCGACTTGAGACATATTTGACGTTCAGGATAGACACACAAAATGAACGCCTATATTAATTGGCGTGTAAAGGCTTTATTTTGTCAATATTATTTTTGTGTCATTAACTGTGTCGGAGGGACATTTCTTGTCGCAACACGCTATGTTGTGACAGTGAATATTCATTTTATACATGGCGCCCTCTCGCCGCTTAAGAAACTAAATTTAAAAGACACCTGTGTTCAATTATACAATGACCTATTGAACTTTTTAATAAATATTATCTTGCCTTTTAGGGCATCCGTTTACATTTCTATGGTTCTCATATTTTGTTTGCCTCTGTAGAAGAGTCGGTAGCTCAAAAAGAAAAGGGGGGAATGTAGTTGCACCCGTATAGATGCTAAATTAAATTATGCCCAGTGCGTATTATTATGCACTGTAGTTTTGTTTATTGCAATGAGATTGTCGTGAGTTTATCACTGAATAAAATAATAAGATGTAGTCGACTATCTGCATCAAGCAGGACGCTAACATTCTGGCCGTAGTCACGTTGGTAGCCATGGCATACCAGTGACACCTAGCCTAATAGGATGAGCGACAACATCCTCCCATCTTCTGGGATGCTGTTTATTAGCCTTTACTTCACGTGAAAGGAACGCCGCTATAACGAACTATCCACACAAATTGTTCGTAATAGCGATCGTTCGGTATAGTGATTTTAAGGTGGCGATGCTCCAGTACTCACTTATCAATAAACAGTGCCCTTCAGAACTTCACCATGCACGCATCACCCCAGTACATGTGTTACTGAAAGACGACTCTGAACTCATGCCGACTATTCAATTATGTAATTACACAGTTTTTTTTAGCTCTACCTACGGCGATGGGTGGCTTTCCAAGTTCTATTCCTTGGGGAAATGATAGCCACTTGTCACTTTCTGTTTATATTTTTCAGCAACAATGTTCAGTACGTTTTGTACACAAAAATCGGGAGCCAAAGACGATGTTCGGTGTAGCCGAATGTTCGGTATAGCGGTGTTCGGTATAGCGGCGTTCCACTGTATTTCAATAGCTTTTCAAAATAACACAGGACCCGATTGACTGTATTTTATGGTTTTTTTTTTTTTTTAATTTAGTGGGTCTCTAGACAGGGTCGGCGGTAATGTGTTATTTTTCTGGTATCGGGAGCCCAAAATAGGGTCGGTAGAAACGAGAACCTAAGAAATAACAAAGGAATGTCCCAATACTAAAAACAAAATATGTAATTGGATACGACGTGTTTCTGGCTCACTATGATAGCAGTATTTATAATGAAATCACTCGGTTTTTTTCTCGATGAACACATGAATGTAAGTCATAAAGCAAACAGAATCAGATCGTATGACTTATTGAACTTTGAATCTTTTCACCTTTACCCCTTAGAAAAAAAAGAAGTGACATTAGGTACTGAAAGGGTGCACTGGTACCCGACAGAGTCACATGTCAATACGTGTAAGACGCTAGGATAGGCGTCTAGCCGCGGCTACCAGCCGAGAGGAGAAGGATAAAAATGCGCATACAAATCTGGGCCCTGGTCATAAAAAAAAAATATCGGTGGGTCCCCTGACCAGTGCACATCTAGTTTCCGGTAAGTGGAACAGTTTTGTTTTTATACGAGTTCGATTTGTTGCCGGGAATCGTTACCCACGTTTGTATTAAATGAACAGAAATGAACAATGAAGGGAAATGTGCGATATTTGATTCATTTAACGATTTGTCTTCGGCGTGCCGGTTTTGGCATAGTGTGAGGCATTGACTTAGGCGTTAGTGGGTGTTGGTGGTGGAATGAATATTTTCTTGGATCTGGCGGGTGTGGGTGTGTGTCTGTGTGTGTCTGGGTGAGCTTGTCTTACATACGCAGTGTGGACTTCCGAACAAAAGACGTCCACATAATGTAGGTAGCAGCGACGAAGTGTGGACTTGCCCACGTCCACACAGTGTTTCCCCATTTCTGGAAAACAGGTTTAGAGGCATTTTTGGGTTAGGTTTATCCGTAGCAGAATGAAGAGAAACACTAAAAGGAATCATTGAAAAAAAATTGGGTTGTAAGATTTTCACAGTTTGAGAAAAATGAGTTTTTCCACTGGTGTTCCTTAACTACACGAAAAGAAAGGAAAGTCCACACTAGGTATGTGAAACAAGTCGGGGTGTGTGTGTGTGTGTGTTGGGGGAGCGGTGGGTTGGGGGGGGGGGGGTAGGGGTCGGTGATAAGGACTGCTTTCAATGCTGAGGCGATGAGTCTATTCAACCGAGTACAGATAATTAAGACCTTGTGTAAAGGGGAAGGGGCAGGAGCGCCACTCCTTGCTCCACAACCCCCTCCCCGCTCTGCCCGCTCTGAATAAGGGAAAGACAAAACATTTACGCCACCGTTATTGAGGTTTTGTCCTCTTTTTTCCCTACTTTTCTAACCACTCCTCCCCCCCCCCTTTGTGTATAGGAGACGAATAACTCAGCCATTTCCATCTTCCCACCCTGCTACTTTTCCACCTGCCGAGCAGTCTCCCCAAATCGCCATGGCAACGCAAAAGCGAGTCCTCGTGTGGAGCACGCCGCGATCTTTGTCCACCGTCCTCATGAGGGCGCTGTCACAGCTACCCGATTCGCTGATCATCCACGAGTACCTGTTGTTAGTGGGTTTTAACGAGGCGGGTGAACAGTTACCCGGTACCGAGTGGAAATCAGGCTTGTCCGACAAGGCCACAGAACAAGGCTTCAATATCAAGTCATGGAAGGAGATGTACGAGCAGCCTTATCCCGGAAAATCATTTATTCTTGGCAAAGAATTCAGCGACGGGCTGGGAGGACGGATGGAGATGATACCCGAAGGCTACACCCACGTCTTCTTGATGCGCCACCCTTTCAAGTCAATTACTTCTCATTGGAAATCACTCTCGTATTTCCCAGACGATGCAAGATTTTCCATGGTGAAGCCCAAAAGTTTCAAAACTTTGGCTGGTGTATATGACCATGTCACCACCACTCTCGGCCAGCCAGCCCCCGTAGTCTTAGACGCCGACGACCTGCTTGCACAACCCGCGGAGGCCTTACGACTGCTCTGCCAATCCATCGGGATGCCTTACAGCCAAGACCTACTCCGATGGGAGCAGGTCAAAGGCGAGTCACCCTCCAACTGGTTAATGCCAAAGATGTTATTGAGCAACCATAAGGATATAGGGGTCTTCAAGTCTGCCTTTGAGAGCACCTGCTTCCACTCCAACCAGGCAACCTCGGGAGCGGCAAAGGAGGAAGACGCCATTAAACCAGAACTCCAACAACTGATCCAAGATGCTTTGCCGTATTACAACTACCTGTACGAACATCGCTTAATTATCACAGGCTAGGAGAGAAAAAAAAGGTTGAAAAATTTCTGGGGAACAAATTTGAAAATTGGCTTCATATTGACAAAATCATTTTTTTTTGTGTTGTGTAAGGGACTGTATGAATACTGCTTAAGCGTTAAACTGCGGAGCCAACAACGAAATACGGGGTACCGAAAAAACAATCAGCGATCAAATCGGCAAATGTTTGCTAGTTTAATTAAAATGCATTAATTTTTATTTGCGACTTGGGACGTATTTGACGTTGACTTCAGGATAGACACACAAAATGAACGCCTATATTGATTGGCGTGTAAAGGCTTTATTTTGTCAATATTATTTTTGTGTCATTAACTGTGTCGAAGTGACGTTTTTTTGTCGCAACACGCTATGTTGTGACTGTGAATATTCATTTTATACATGGAGCCCTCTCATTGCTTAAGAAGCTAAATTTAAAAGACACCTGTGTTAAATTATACAATGACCTATTGAACTTGCTAATTAACATTAACTTGCCTTGGGGGTCGGGGGCATAATTGCATGTACTTGAGTTGGCGTAAATAATGGCTGTTTATATGTTCACAGGATAAAATAGTAGGACTTGTTGGAATTACAAAGACGACTTTAAGTCGCTCAGAGTCGTATGCCTCGGAATCCCCGCACTTTCACCGAACAGCGCCCTCTATTAAGAAGGTTGCGACGAGACAATTTTGACGTTCAGGATAGACACACAAAATGAACGCCTTTATTGATTGGCTTGTAAAAGGCTTTAATTTGTCAATATTATTTTTGTGTCATTAACTGTGTCGGAGGGCCATTTCTTGTCGCAACACGCTATGTTGTGACTGAATAATAATTTGATACATGGCGCCCTCTCGCCGCTTAAGAAGCTAAATTTAAAAGACACCTGTGTTAAATTATACAATGACCTATTGAACTTTTTAATTAATATTATCTTTGTCTTTTAGGGCATCCGTTTACATTACTATGGTTCTCATATTTTGTTTGCCTCTGTAGAAGGGTAGGTAGCTCAAAAGAAAAGGGGGGGGGGGGTGTAGTTGCACCAGTATAGATGCTAAATGAAATGATGCCCAGCGCGTATTATTGTGACTATAGTTTTGTTTATTGCAATGACTTTATCATGAGTTTATCACTGAATAACTTAATAAGATGTAGTTAAATTACATTATATCTGCACCTAGCAGGACGCTATCATTCTGGCTGTAGTCACGTGGTAGCCATGGCATACCAGTGACACCTAATAGGATTAGCGACAACATCCTCCCATCTTCTGGGATTCTTATTAGCCTATACTTCACAGGTAGAAATCAGGTATTTCAATAGCTTTTCAAATAACACAGAACCTGATTGTCTGTATTTTATGGGTTTTTTTTTTTTTCATTTTGTCTTTTTAGGGAGGCTCTAGACAGGGTCGGCGGAAATATATTATTTTTCTTGTGTCGGGAGCCCAAAATAGGGTCGGTAGAAACGAGAACCTAAGAAATAACAAAGGAATGTCCCACTACTAAAACAAAATATGTAATTGGATACGACGTGTTTCTGGCTCACTATGATAGCGGTATTTATAATGAAATCACTGAGTTTTTTCTCGATTAACACACGAATGTAAGTCATAAAGCAAACAGAATCAGGTCGTATGACTTATTGAACTTTGAATCTTTTAACCTTTACCCGTTTAAAAAAAAAAGTGACATCAGGGACTGAAAGGGTGCACTGGTACCCAACAGACTGACATGTCAATACGTGTAAGACGCTAGGATAGGCGTCTAGCCGCGGCTACCAGCCGAGAGGAGAAGGATAAAAATGCGCGTACAAATCTGGGCCGTGGTCATAAAAAAAAATATCGGTGGGTCCTGTGACCAGTGCACATCTAGTTTCCGGTAAGTGGACCAGTTTTTCGATTGGTTGCCGGGAATGTTACACACGTTTGTATTAAATGAACAGAAATGAACAATGAAGGGAAATTTGCGATATTTGATTTATTTAACGATTTGTCTTCGGCGTGCCGGTTTTGGCATAGTGTGAGGCATTGACTTAGGCGTTAGTGGGTGTTGGTGGTGGAATGAATATTTCTTGGTTCTGGCGGGTGTGTGTGTGTGTTGGGGGAGGGGTGAGGGGGGGGGGGGGAGTGGGTAGGGGTCGGTGATAAGGACTGCCTTCAATGCTGAGGCGATGAGTCTATTCAACCGAGTTCAGATAATTAAGACCTTGTGTAAAGGGGAAGGGGCAGGAGCGCCACTCCTTGCTCCACAACCCCCTCCCCGCTCTGCCCGCTCTGAATAAGGGAAAGACAAAAAAGTTTTTAATTTTGAATAAAAAATATTCAGCGCCCAACCAATAATGAGCCCCCGTGCCCTGGCCCTCCCCCGTGGCAAACAGTTACGCCACCGTTATTGAGGTTTTGTCCTCTTTTTTCGTGCTTTTCTAACCACTCCTCCCTTTGTGTATGTAGGACACGAATAACTCAGCTATTTCCATCTTCCCTCCTGCAACTTTTCCACCTGCCGAGCAGTCTCCCCAAATCGCCATGGCAACGCAAAAGCGAGTCCTCGTGTGGAGCACGCCGCGATCTTTGTCCACCGTCCTCATGAGGGCGCTATCACAGCTACCCGATTCGCTGATTATCCACGAGTACCTGTTGTTGGTGGGTTTTAACGAGGCGGGTGAACAGTTACCCGGTACCGAGTGGAAATCAGGCTTGTCCGACAAGGCAACAGAACAAGGCTTCAATATCAAGTCATGGAAGGAGATGTACGAGCAGCCTTATCCCGGAAAATCCTTTATTCTTGGCAAAGAAATCAGCGACGGGCTGGGAGGACGGATGGAGATGATACCCGAAGGCTACACCCACGTCTTCCTGATGCGCCACCCTTTCAAGTCAATTACTTCTCATTGGAAATCAGTCTCGTATTTCCCAGACGATGTAAGAATTTCCATGGTGAAGCGCAACCAGTTTAAAGCCTTGGCTGGTATATACGACTATGTCACCACCACTCTCGGCCAGCCAGCGCCCGTGGTCTTAGACGCCGACGACCTGCTTGCAAAGCCCGCGGAGGCCTTACGACTGCTCTGCCAAGCCATCGGGATGCCTTTCAGCCAAGACCTACTGCGATGGGAGCAGGTCAAAGGCGAGTCACCCTCCAACTATTTATCGCCAAGTATACTGTTGAGCAACACTAAGGATCTAGGGATCTTCAAGTCTGCCTTTGAGAGCACCTGCTTCCACTCCAACCAGGCAACCTCGGGAGCGGCAAAGGAGGAAGACGCCATTAAACCAGAACTACAACAACTGATCCAAGATGCTTTGCCGTATTACAACTACCTGTACGAACATCGCTTAATTATCACAGCCTAGGAGACAAAAAAAGATTGAAAAATTTCTGGGGAACAAATTGGAAAATTTGTTACAGTGTTGACAAAATCATTCTTGTGTTTGTGTAAGGGCCTGTATGAATATCGTAAATGCGTTAAACTGTGGAGCAAACGGCAAAATACATGGTGTCGAAAAAAACAATCAGCGACCAAATCAGAACATGTTTGCAAACTTAATTAAAAGGCATTAATTTTGTTTAGTTTGTACAAGGATTCAATTCCTTCTGATTGAACATCCGTTTTGCGAACCAACAATGATAGCGCCCTTTCTCGTGTTCACCGTTGAGGGACAGGCGCGGATCCAGGCCCCCCTTTTGATTTCACGGAGGCCAAGTGTCCGGAGAAAAAATACGTGTCTACATTTCATATTGTTTGTCGATACCCCCCCCCCCCCTGCGAACATTCATGGATCCGCCCCTGAGGGAGTACGCGTGACGTAGTTCATACTGCAAAGCTATTGTTAGTTTCAATTACATGAGAGGGAATGTACTTTGTGTTATTTTTCTTTAAATTGACCTCTTTCGATATGATACGTGAAAGTTGATTTTTACACAATAATGTAATCAGTAGGTGAAAATGTCATCGTAGAGAAACATACTTTAGTTTCAATGAGCATCGACCTTGTATTTTCCTTATTTTAGTTCAGTGCACAGGAAGCGAAAGTTCAGATCCAGAACAAGTTTGAGAGGACGTTTTCTTTTTGGTTGTGACGTCACACGCAATCGGTTTTGCTTTTCACTAAAAACTGTTTTTTTGAATGAGAGTGGTTTTAATAGTCTCGTTTATGTGGAAGTTGTGGCATACACAAAGGGAGTGTTTTATTAAGGCATGAAAATTTTATGCAAGTTTAGGGACGGATGAATCATATCCGTTTCTCTTCATTAAAATAGCATTTTGATTTAGTATACATTTTACAGAGCAACTAGTTGCTAGTCTTATTGGTGGTGGCAAATAAAATTTCTTTTAGACATTTGGGGTGTGGCCTTTACTAATTTTGTGTCATTAATGGACACAAAAAACACTTTGTTTAACGGTCTGCTTTGCTTCACTTGATCGAGTGGAATTACGCGTCGTTGCATGAAATTACTGTTTACGGCGATATTTTGTACAAGGTTGTTGCTATGGCCAGCGATGCGCGTCGTGTATCGGTAAAAATGATATTGTCAAAATATCCAACTTGGAAATAGTTTGACGTGCCCCTTAAAGCAACATCCTTTATAAGCCCAACAAACTTCACTCATTTCGACAGTCCAGTGGTATTGCAAAAATAAATACTTTTTATATTATCATTCTGTGCTAATTACAAATGCTATCGAAACATATATTATGCTAATTAAGTGCGTACGTGTTTCGATAATAAATACGACCTGAATTAAATAAGGTTTGCCCTGAAAAAAAAGGACACCACCAAAACATTCCATTCCTTTGGTTTGTTCTTTTGATTTTTTTTCCATCTTTTTTTATACTACTTTCGTAAAATCCTTTTGGTTTTGCAACCAACTTCTCCATCTTCTTCCAATTCTACACTAACTCAAAACCCTGTGTGACATAGATGAATTTTTCTTAGCAACATATTTTGTGAAACATTCTGCTCCTCTTAAATGTATGATGACTATTTGACATCCCTTTTTGGTTAATGTTAGTGAAATTTCTTTAAATATTAAAAAAAAAATTATGTCTGTGCTTTTCCGGACAACTGAGGCCGCTGTTGCTGTGATGCCATTTCAGGAAGACATTGTTCAGTTTAGGGGGTTTTCTGTTCAAAATTGTGAACCCAAAAACTCACTCTTTGAAAATATTAGTGAGAAAACTTTGCTCATTGGCCGACGCAACATCGAATCACCAAAGGAAAGAACATTTATGACGGCCAAATACCCCAAATTATGGTAACTTTTGGTACTGAAAATATAACGTATCCAGCTTTTGATTTGGGGGGGGGGGGGGGCAACCGCACATCCGTGAAGAAAATTTAGACATATTTTTCCCCGGACACTTGGCCTCCGTAAAATCAAAAAGTGGGTGGTGGTGGTGGTGGTGGTGGTGGTTTGGCTCTTCAAAACTGACCATTATTATGACTGTATACTGCAGTTATACGCCTATTTTCACGGTGCACTGGAATGGTTTTTGAGGGGATTTTCTTTTTGGGATTGATGTCAGAACTCTATGACCATTTATTGAAATAATTGCTGACAAAAACATTGTCAAAAAATCCGCCGGGGGCCTCCCCCTCTCTCTCTCTGAATACACAACTCTACTGAAATAACTGTGATATTGAAGTTTCTGCCTCAAATGACGTCACACACTTAACTCATGAATGTGTAAATTTGCATTAGCATAACAAAAAAAATCCGTTGAAAATGGCAAAAAGTAAATTATAAATAAGGTTTAATAGGATAAATAGGTGTATTTTCAATGATTGCATTAACTGCAGTGCATGGGCCCTTTAAATTATCACCTTGCTTTCATAATTTCAAACATTTCGGGTCTCAATGGGTACGACTCTGGCACAATTTGGCGTCAACTTCATCATGTCTGTGTTTCCTTGAGGCGAATCCTTCCTAAGCGGGTGACAGTTCCTGTTTCCAGACATGTTCCAAATAATTGAGGTATTTTTGGGTTCAGCCATGTTCTTCTATATCATCATGGTTAAACACAAACGAACCCCTAGTATGGATCGGGTAGCACACAGACGCAAGCTACAGGTACGGACTCGTACGCAACTTCGTAATCGTCGAGCGAGTCTCGACAACGACTGGCAGTCGATGAGCGCCGCAGCACGGCGACCGTGTAGTTGTGAAGATGGCAGCTACCCTCCGAACTATCTCGGCAATCATCGTTAGGGTTCGTGCAGCGGGCGAAGTGTAGATGACGCGGGATCCGCTGGGCGTCCTCGTGATCGTAGTACTCCCATGAGCAGGAGCAGTAGTCGGGTGCAGGCGGGCCTACCGGGGGCTGGGGGTCCCAGGACACGGAGTACCTGTCCGTCTGCCTCTTGTCGGTCCGGTCTCGATGTTTCTTTTCCCGGCTCTGGCGCCGGTTTTTGCTCCCGATTCCCGGCGTGATAAGGGTCGTCAGAAGCAGGATGATTCCAAGTAGACAAACGAGTCTAGCGACGTTTATTTGTAACTACATGGAGAAAAAAATTGGGTTAATGGTCTCATTTCAAGGATAGATTGACTTTGACTTTGTTAAATTAAAAAGCATTTCAAAGCAGCTGCGTAACTAAGATTGAACTTTACCTGGGGGTGCACCAAATTTTTCAAGGGAGGGGGGGGGGGGTGGCGCACTGACGCAGCCTATGTTTGTGTGCAATTCAACATTGAAAATAGGGGGCCACGGACATACGTTTGGGGTCACGTGCCCCTCGTACCCACCCCCTCCGCCCCGCCCTCCGTATAATTACGCCACTGGATCGAAGATAAGATACTACATCTTAGAGGGAAAGAAGTTGAATATTCAGTGTGACTTTTTTTTGGGGGGGGGGGGAGAGGGAAGGGATAGGTTTAAATTTATTAATGTAATTGATGAGAACACAAAGTTTGAAGAACATTCGAAATCGAGTCTCGATTTACCTCTCAGTTTTTACAACTTTGAATAAACGCCTAAGTTATAATAGGAAACCTATATTATTATTAATGTTGAACATTGTACATTTATCACCCAAATCCAATATATTGACGTTGAACGATAAAGCCTTGGCAATTATCGACTATAGAATATTTTTTTTCATACTATTTCAACATTAAGTTAGATGCTATATAAAAACCTAAGTAAGATTTGAGGCTTTGCATGGTGGAGAAAATAATGAATGAAAGGTATGCGGAAACACATGGTGTTTCCGCATACCTTTCATTCATTATTAATATAAAACCTATAAAAAAGTAATGAAAACAAGATAACGAACATAAAAACTGAACTGCTTCAAATTGTGTTGACCTTCGTTCTGATGTCTCATGAAGCCGGAGTGCGCATGCGCCATTAAATGACGTAACTCCGTTGGGATGTTTTTCAAAGTCCTTACGCGCGCAACCTCTTTGTCATGAAGAGAATGAAACTATTTTAGTAAAATAACAATAGGAGGACTTGGACAAGAAGTTGCAGTTTCGGCCAGTGTCCCAAATAGAAGTTGACTGAATCGTTAAGAGAAGGGCATGCGAGGTGTTTTTTTTGTCTCTTGTGTTTCAGTTCAACGAACGGGCCTTCCCCCACCAACGGGATTAGGCGGTATGCGTTCATCTTTGATACATCGAAATAGTGAGCATTGTAGGCACTACGCTGACGCTCGAGGCATTACCGTAGGAGTAAAGAAAACACAGGGCATTTATTGTGTCATCATTATTAAAACGCAACTAGTTGGGGAAATACTGCGTTTGTTATGAAAGCAAACAAACTATATGCTGCGCATTGCAGATCTATATACAGTGGGCGAAAAATAATACAACAGTCATATGGAAACGCATTTTTTTTGGTATCTGAAGTCAATCACATATCATTCATAAATCGAGTGAACAAAATGATGCGCTTGGCACGAAAAATGAAATTCATTGTGAGAGTTCGTTTACACGAGCATTTAACTTGTCACTCGAGACTTGAGAAATGGTGACTTGAGATGGCGTTGTGATTGATTGGGATTGACTTGTGACGGAGTTGTGATTGACTTGTGATGTAGTTGTGATCGACATATGATTGACTTGTGACGGAGTTGTGATTGATTTATGATTGACTTGTGATGTAGTTGTGATCGACATATGATTGACTTGTGACGGAGTTGTGATTGACTTGTGATTGACTTGTGTTTGGCTTGTGATTGGCTTGTGATTGACTTGTGGTTGACTTGTGATCTACTTAAGTTGCGATTGTTTTGTGATTAAGTTACGATCTGTAATTACTTGTGATTACTTCATTTAAGAGTCAGAAACAAGACACTATACAGTTCGATGTGTTTGCCTAACTTGTTTAAAAGCCCATCGCGCTAAAGTCTTCGGTCAAATTCCAAATTCGCAACTGAATACGTCCAAAACCATGGTGGCCTTGAAAAAGGCTACCCATGAATTAAAGAAGTTTGAAGAGTAAAGCATAATTCGTAATATATAGACAACAACAAAAGCGAACAAACAAATTCCATATTTCTCACCATCTTTGTTGTTGCTCTCCTCGTTTTTTTTGTTTCTTTCAATAATTTAGATGTACTTCTGTAGGCTGTTATACGAGTAATGACCGTCGTTGCTGATCGCTGTTCAGTGTAGTACTTCCTCCGGTTCAAAAGCATCCCGCGTTTTATACCCGTTCATCCCTTAAGTTGGTATTGCAATATGTTCTGTGAGCCGCCTTTACATTTTCGTCATGCAGAGTTCTATTTTCGCCACACTTCCGTTTGATTCTTCACTACATACCTGGAAACCAATGCCGTCCAAATTAATCAGGACATCATTATCAAAGGTGTTGGAATATTAAGGGAATACCTCGACTAGGACTGGGTTTTATGTCAGCCCGCATAAAACCCTTTCATGTTTTTGTTTATATTACGTTTGTTTTTAGGATAAGACCTACGAACGGTCACTGCGCTTTTCCCCCGTTTAGAACCGTGGTTTTTTTTTATAGTTCCGCCACGATGCTTACAACATTTAGTGCAACAATAGTATGTTGGTTTCATTTGACAATTCCATTCATTTCTGAAACCCTAGGAAATTTTCCATTCGTGCTGGAGGGAAAATAGAACAGTTGGGAGGGAGAAATAATGTTCCTTTAAATTTCTGGATCCTGTAGGCCTAGTGGAACTAGAAAGTTTCCATTCGGGGACGGGAAGGGGTCATCCAACGAGTGCGCCAGATCCGATACGAGAGCTCGTTGAGACATATAGTGAGCGATGTACACAGGTGCTTCGACACAATCGACACGCTGTTACGTGCGGATGTACGGGTATTCACGTTTAACTATGGGAATATACCTTATCGCGTTTCATCCCGAAAATAAAATACATTTCTTTGCTAAATTTCTATTTTTTTTCTAGCAATACAAAAGTTATTCACTTTTGAATGAGACAATGACCGCAACAATCGGCCCATGTTTAGTTGTTGAATCAGTACTGTACACAATCGAAATTCACACTCGCGGGGCAAGGGCGGATCGGGGGGGGGGGTCATTGCCCTCCCATTTTTTTTAATGTGACGTCGTAATAAAGGCAGGCAATGCCTCAGATCGCACCACAGAGCATCTAGAATTCAAAACCACGTCGTAATTTTTGGACCCACTTTTTGGCGAACCAAATTTTTTTTGGGCCACCCAAAAATTGTGTTCTGGATCCGACCTTGTCGCGGGGTGGGCTGGTTCCCATGCAACGACAATCAGTTATTGATTATGTACGCACCGGGAACCAGCCAGCAAGGTGGATCTATTTCTGCCAAAATAAAAACCCTCCTTTTTTAGGAGAGGGTTGCAGACGCCAAGAACAGAAGGAAAAGTTTTTTGTTATTTGTTAGAATAAGAGTGAGAGAGAGAGAGAGAGGAATGTGTTGAAAAGGTTTTTTTCGGCGGCCCAAATTACGGGGGAAAGGGTGTGGTTCAGTTTATTCCTTGAAAGAAAATTAAAAATCCAAATACACGTGTAACGGAATACATTGTTACATAACACCCAAAACAGCCGAAAAATTGACGATCGATAAAATTTAATGTATAACGGTGTTGTGAATCCAAATGTTTCGAACATTGCACAAACAAGGTGAAATTTAATATTATAAATTCACCTTAAAAAGACATTTGCAGGGGGCTCCCAAATTTGCGATAAAAATGATCAGTCGCAGCACAAATAACTACAGATGGTAATTCCAAACGGAGGAGTATTTTGTTATAAAGAGATTGGTTTCTCTTTTAACGACGCAATAAAGTCCGTCAGTCATACACGAATTGGGTAAACAACTTTAAAATAACACGACCAGGGACACGCATTTAGTTCTAATGACGTAAATTCAGAGAGAGCCAGAATTTCGATTGATCAAGAAGAAAACGTTTCAAAAAATCTGATTTTGTGAAGGTTTTTGTTATTCGGTTACACAAGAACTAACTACTGGCGTTCTCAGAGGGAGAAAGTTGCCGTATAATGCGAGTTATTACAAGATGCCTGTTTCTGCCTGAAATTCGGTTTCGTCATAATACTTTTGACGAACTGAATTACAGCGTGTTTCCAAATCCTGCGGGGGTCGAGCGCGAAGCGGAAATGGAGTTACAGTTGCCCGCCCACGAGGCAACGTGTACAAAGAGAAATTTCGTTCCGGAGTCAGATGAACATCCGAGACTCCTATGAAAATCTGACTCCTTTTCCCTATTATTGGCTAATCCTTCACACGTGACAAGTCACTCTCCTATATATAGGCCTATAAATAAGCTAGTATCTACCTACGCATGCGCAATACTACCAATGAGTCCATATTTCACGGAGTTGGATATTCACGCTAGCTACACCGGGACAAAAAATAAGTGCAAGTTTACTACAAGCGGCCAGTGTCATATTTTTTGAGAATCCAAGTTATTATTAAATAGCCCGAATGGAACATTTCAGATGCCAAAATAACTATCACTTGGAAAAGTTTCATAAATTTTGAGTTTGATATATGCCGTTTTCTGAAAACAAAACTATACCGGGGGCAGGGAGGTAGGTACGCCCCACAAAATGGATGTCAGCCCCCCCCCCCTATACCCCCGGTGCCCCAATTTGAAATGTTGAATAAAATAAAAATTACACTGCACTTTTAAAACTGCTTCGTTTGCCTCAGACCAGGTGCTCCCCCCTCCCGGGCTGAGGAGGAGTGCTGTTTGACTCTTGAAGTCAGGTGGCGGGTTTATAGTTAGTTGCTCAGCAATGACAGTTTTGCATGCATGTTCTGCGTAAAATCGCCCTAATTTAAACAGTATTGCCCTTATTTAACACATTACTGACGCCTGATGTACCATGCTCAAACACCGAAACCTTATGCAAGCAACAACCCATCACAAAATAAACTCGTTAACCCCTAGAATTTGATCACAGTTCAACAAGAATAAACATTTTATGGGACGGTCCACAAAACATTTATTGGTCCCTGTTTGTTGATCCTTGCTATGTCATTGCCGCACTTAAAGGGACACTAGGTCCTGGAACAGCCCAAATTGGGCTACAAAACGCGCTTTGAACGAGATGATGATAATCGGAAATAACTTTCAAAAGTAGGATATAAACATCCACACAACTATCCTTTCAAAACTGGGCGTTTTTGTGTTATTTCTGTATTTGTGCGTGCGAGAACGAATTTCGGGGTCCACTTTTGCGACCCCATTAGGCCAAAAAAAAAAAATATTCGGTCTCTGGTCAGACCAAAGTTCCGGAATTGACGCGGCCACGCGGCTTTTTTTTTTTTTTTCCCTTTTTAAATTTTTTTTCTTCAGCTTGGATTGTACAGACAAGGTGGGTACTATTTTGCTTTTTTGGTGTCCTCATGTACATTGGTGGCCTCCATAATTTGCCTTGGTGCTTTCGATCATTTGCCTTGGTGCAATTTCCCATTCCTTGGTGCTCTTTGGTAAAAAAAATTGAGGAGGTGCGGAAATAGAGGGCGCTGTTGGAGCTACCGCGGAACATTTTGGAAACAAAAAAGATTGACGCGCATGCTTAAAATCGACGCGCGCGCTGACCAGAGACCGACTTATTATTTTTTTTGACCTTACATAAATTCGAGCTGTTTGGATGCTAGTTGTGATTTCATTCGTACGCGTAAAGTGTTCGCCTTTTGCGGACGTTGAAGAAACCACAATTTTTTGCATTGGTGATTGGTCACCGCGCGCTGTTCCCGAGACACACAACGTGTATAGCGTACTAAGAACGACACGAAAAACGTATTCGTACTCCGTCATGTCCGACGTAAACAAGCGGGGTTTTTTTCGTCTTTTCTCGGGAACGGTAAGACATTAGGTTGGTTTCCTTTCAACCAGATGTTTGAAACAGGCTAAGTAAACAATCCAAAACGTAACATTTTCTGGGATTTCAGGACCTAGTGCCCCTTTAAGTATTTGGATATAAATCAGATCACGTGGCCTGGAACTACGTGTAGAGTTGCAGACTGTGCTGGCCTCATTCGGTTGTTCAATCAAAGCGGATCTAGCTGCAACGCCCCTTCGTTCATTTAGAAACCCTTTTTTTTTAGTAACGCGGTAAGTTTAGTTTCTGTAGCTCGTTAACATTGATATTTATATATATTCAAAGTCGACGTGGCACGATGATTTAAATGGATACTTGAAGTTCGTGGTATTAAATTCCACTCATTTTAAAATGCAGAATTAACAAAACTTCTTCTCTCATAATGTCGTATCGTGTTTGCCTTTATCACTTTTTTTATGATTTTCCAACAGATCATACTACCGGGCACATCGGAAATGAACTTGTGATGGCTTCTTTGGCGTCTTCTAAAGTTATGATGGGGGCACGGACAAGCATGTCATCATATTTCGAGGAGTTCAGCAAGAATTTAGACTGCGCCATCTGTCATGATAGATTCACTAAGCCCAAGTTTCTGGAATGCATTCACAGCTTCTGCCAGCACTGCTTGGTAGAAAAGGTAAAACACGGTGGAGAGGAGGACAACGTAATCAGTTGTCCCCTCTGCCGACACAAAACTAAGCTTTCGGATAAAGGGGTAGAGGGTCTCAAGACCAACTTCTACTTGGTCGATTCGCTCGAATGCGTCTCACTGAAGGAAAAGGTTGCCATGCCACTCAACTGCATGGAGCTGCTGTGTGAAGTTTGTGAGGAGAGCAAGGAGGCGAAGCGACGCTGCCTGGACTGCGCTCAGAACATCTGCTCCGACTGCACAAAGAGGCATCGAAAAACTACCGCCACATCGGGACATGCGGTCGAGACATTGGAAGACATACGCAAGGGGAGGGTCGCCGTGAAAAAAAAGCCAGAGGAAGATGAGCTGAGGTGTTCGAAACACAAAAGAGCAGTGAATGAGTTTTATTGCAAGACGTGCGACGAGTTGATCTGTACCTCTTGCACCGTCGTAGGGCATCGCAGGCACAAGTACGTAGAAGCGCCCGAAGCACACGACGCTTATAAAAAGTCTCTCCAAGGAAAACTTGAGGGTTTCAAACAGCAGATATTGCAGCTTCGACTTTCCTTGGAAATCGCACGCGAGGTAAAGCACGACCTCAACTGCGAGGCAGAAACGGCCGTGGGCACTATACAACAGAGAGCAGATGAATTGATTGATGGCATTAGAAGCATCCAAAATGAGCGCATTGAGGCGTTTGACGCTTTTTCCGACAAAGTCACCGAATTGCTTGAAAGAAAAAAGGACACATTTAACACCGCCCAGGAAATCGTTAAGGATGCGGCGGAGAGCGTGTTCCTCTCAGTATATCCCGTGATCAGGAAAGACGTCGATTTCCTTTGCCGCCTCAGCGCTCCGAGAGTCGACTATCGCCTTTCGTATTTGGGGTTCAGTGCGGGCGATGATGATGATTGGCCGGGCAAGATCCAGCAGCCGACGGCGGCGAGTCGGTGGGAGTTGCTCCGTGAGCTCGGCAAGAGAGGAGACGGTCCACGCCAGTTCAGCTTTGCCCGGGGTATAGATGCGCTTGGACCTAACGAGCTCGTGGTTACAGACTACGAAAACAAGCGAGTGATGTTCTGTAGCATAGACGGGGATTCTGACTCGGTGGCTTCCAGCATACAATTGGAGGAAGGTAAGCTAGAATCATTTCAGTCCGGTAGCTCCAAAATAACGGTATCGGAATGGGAGACAGACCGAATTTAATGAGTATGTGGCAGGTGATGACTCTTTCAAATCGAGTGTATTAAATTGAGTCATTTCTCCTCCACCAGCCAAAAATAAAAGTTGACCCCAAACCTCCTCTTTTTGATCATACGCAAGTTTGTGACATTTCTGGACTTTTTAATTTGGAGACACAAAGTTTCCAAAAGTATCCTGAATCAAATTTCTATTTTTTTTTAAAAGCAGCTCGCTCCGAAACAAAATCTCATATTCCAGAACCATGTTTTGTATAAATGACTACTTTTACTTCTGGAAAGGATTTTACCTTGGCTCTTTCGGCTAAAGTTATTCCTTGAAAATGGCATAAGATTTGTTCAAGTGTTTGAGGAATTCGTTGTTTCCGTTGTCAGATGCGATCGACGTGGCTGCCACTGGCCAAAAAATTGTGGTAGTAGACAGCAGCGTTGAAGTCAAGATCCTGAAGAGGGAAGATTCTAAAGAGGGATATAAGGATTCTGGAGAGATTCTGGAGTTTGACGAGACGCCGCTTAGCCTGCGCAGCGTAGCCATAAAGAATGATGGTGTCGTCGTAGTGGGTGACATCAAGAAGAAGGTGCTGACAGAGCACAATCCTACCAATGGCAGGTTCTTGCGCACCATACCCGTGAAGATTGAGCCGTACTTCTTGGCTGTCGGCAGGGGTGGTCAGGTCGCGATCAGTGGACTTGAAAACGAAGTTAAAGTCATCGCCTCTAAAGACAACGAGTATTTCTCCGTCAGGCCGAAGATCGGTGGCAAACCAGCCCGCGTGTGCACCGCCGGCGTATGCTTCGATAGTCAGTCAGATCTCTACATCGTCGTGGACAAATTCACATCTGATGCTGATGGTAAGAAGGCTGCTGTTGATGATTTCTACGATGATATTTTTGAGGATGATGACAATGATGGTGTTGATGAAATCACGGGTCACATTCACCGCTATAATGGTGTTGATGGCACGTTTCTGGGCTGTATCATCCAGGATTTGCATAATCCACAGGGCATTGTTTTCACAGAAGACAGGCGCCTTGCGATAGCAGACCTCTACTCGGTGAAGATTTTTCACAAGGTGTAGGCCTAAGTGCGGCCGTCACCACGGTTTATGATCACATCAGCAACAAAAATGATAGACGTTCTAAAATCAGGCTGTGATTCCGGTTTCCATCAACATCCACAACTACATCAGTCCTATTTTTTTCGGTTAAGTTTAGCTTTTCACAAAGGCTAATATGTCCCATATTTTGAGGCCCTTGTATTTCGGTTCGGGCAATCACGGCTACAATAAGGGGGTCGCGGATCCGATGCGATATCCGAAAGCCGCACCAAAAATGTTACTCAAAATGTTACTCAAACGGCAAGCACGGTTCTGGGGAGGGGCGGGGTTGGGTATAAGTTGGAGGGAGGCAACAAGGAAAACCCATCGAAAAGAATGAAGAAAATATGATTAATTTAGTTTAAGAAATTTATCCTGGTGAAAGCTATTGGTTACTCTTGGCTTGCGGAAAATGTACAAATGGATGACTTATGTCCAGTGTCAAAACACAGTCGTATAATGTTCCTGATAACTCTTCATCCTGCTGGGATTTTTTTTACCGCGATATTAACAATATTATTGTACAGTACATTACAAGTTCGTATAAAGTGATGATTTAAATGCGCAGTGATTTATCGAAATTATCTTCAAACATGATATTGCGGGAAAAAAAATCGAAAATCAACTGAAACCAAAGGAGTCAAATGATAAGTAGATTTTAACGACTTGAAGACAGTATGAAAATTTATGTTTAAGCTACAATTCAAATTTAATACAGACTCGTTTGTTCCTTTGCTTTTTGTTTTGTAAATATTTGAGTTAATTATGAGGCCTCATGATAGAGAATATAAAACTAGTAATTATAAATACGGTAGGTAAACTCTTGGTACCAAACACTGATTGGTCTAGCCACAGACTCTATTGGATTGTCTATTTGCAAAATTAATAGTTGTGTACCGGTACACAAGGCAGGATCCAGAACACTGGGGGGGGGGGGGGGGGCAAACAAAAATTATTCCCGAAAAAGTGGGTCCAACCATTTTCTGCCCAAGAGGTGTAAATGTATTGCTTTTGTTGAGTTTTGTGGGACGTGCAATGGCTGCCTTGCGACGTTGCCCCCCCCCCCCCCCCCCAGGTTCCGCCGTTGCCGGTACATCGAACATGTTACAGAACCAAATCTTAAAAATTATTTTGGCATAAAATAATTAACTTTATCAATAACCATTCAATACTGTCAATACTCAGATCGAGGTTTTGTATTTTCACGTAATTTGTATGTAAATTGTTAGTTGTTGATAGTTCTGGTTTAATTTTGAGTTCAATGCCTCAACATTTTGTCTTCACACAATTTCAACATAGCCCTACACTACTCAGTAAAAAAAAAAAAGGAAAAAAAAGAAGAAGTTTTCTTAGCAATAGAAAAAAATTCTAAGTTGTATATTTAATAGGCCAAGTAAAGAAATAAACCAGTGTCTCGTCCCCACCCGCATCCTTTTTTTCGCGGCAGCCTCCTTTTATATTTACTTATACATTTGAAATATATTTTGCACATTTAGTCAACGTTTTGTCTTTTTAATTGTTTCCAACAAATTTGTAGCTATGTAGAAAGGGTAATGGCTCCTTTGAACAAAATTTGTATTAGCAAAAAGAGTCAAGAAGATGGAAGAATACATTGCCATTTTGGAAAATCCACCATTTTGGGGAAAAAACCGCCCATCGCCTTCATTTTTTTTCTTCTTCAATATGGCCGGACGAGAATCTGGTTTTTTTTTACTCGGCCATAATACTCCCTTACGATTTTGTGAAAGCTTTTCTCAGAAACAGGGGTTAAAAAAATTAGCATATTTCTAGTTGTCACGTATGATCTTAAATATGTTTTATATTTTTAAGTGATTACTAAAAATCCATGTAACTTTCTTGTATTAATGTTAGAAGAAATTGATAAACACGACTAGAGGAAATGAATGATGGTTGATTGACATATGCACAATGAACAACTGATTTTTTTAATATTTTGTTTCTCAACACCGCAAGATAAATTCTCTCGACCTGATTTTGTATGTACGTATTAACGTAATTTCACATTAATTCTTGTTAAATGCGAGATAAATATATACAAAAAAAAAGGAAACAATATTTACTCAGTTTACTTAAGTTTTGACTGCAGTAGACCTGAGACATAATGACGTCATGCTTTGTTTACATGCTCCCACAGGAAAGCGCACATGTAAACAAAACGTCACGTCATTATGTCTCAGTTATATTCGTTGTTTTAACAAAATATTAATCATTCTTGTTAATTAGTTTAATTTCTTTCTTGTAGTTTGCTTAAAGGAAATTTGCTTATTATCTTCTTTTTTTCTTCTTTTGTGGTTTATGCTAGGCGATCATTTTCAAATTTGGCTAAATTCTTTTCACTAAATTAACGGTTAAGAGCACTTTTCCCATATAGAAAACAAGGACTTCCAGATTCCACGTTGACTCTACATTCTGACATTTGTTGGTCACGTTTTGCCACATGGGCCAATCAGTCTGAAAATGAAACCTTCAATAATAATTGTTCTCGGCTTTTTGGTCAATTCTTCACATCTTGATAATGGAATATGACGGAAACCTTTTTTTAATGGGATAATGCGCCCACTTTGATGCAAAACGCGTTTTAAATGAAATGAAATTAAAAAAAAAGAAGATTTAAAGGTAGAATATAAACGTCCACACATAGAACATATGTTATTCTTGCGGGAACCATGCGAGAATGAATTTAGAGGTCACCCGGAATGGCTATCCGGAATGTTATCTGTTATGACGTCAATGGACTTTGAGTTTTGCTGAACATATCAGATAAACAATATTACTGTAGCCGATATTAATCGTCTACCAGACAAAAGAATTAGTTTCGAATGTGGGTAGCACCTTCAACTAAAGAGAATTGTCTTTGACTTTGAGGAGTTTTAAGTTCAAGTTAAAAAAAGTTGGTGATTGTTCATTACATTTCTCCTTTGTAATTCTTGCAGTAGAATAAAGGAAGCGCAAAGCAGTTAACCAATGTCCGTCCAACAAACGCGTATGTTTTATTTTGGATGCAGAGTGTGTCGTTCATTTATTACAAAATAAAGAATGCAACATTTGGCGAAAAAAACCTACTATGCTACAGTGAGAGGATATTCATGTACAGCACTGCAATACTGCCCTCCCAAGTTCTTCGGCATTCAAAATGGAACGATCATTTTTGAGATCAAAAAGGCATCAACTTTAATGTCGAGCTATATTTGTGCCGCTTATCTTTAAAAAGTCTTAAAATATACATTATATAAAATCATGGCATTATGAAGGGAATGAAATAGAATATCGAGTGTGTAAAATGTCCGAGGAATAATTTGATAATTTGAAAGCCATCATAACGCTAAAGCCACTGTGGGATTTATCTAATAACACACAACCAATAAATTGGAAAAATCTGATGATTCTCATTCCGATCCTCTGTCTATCTATTTATTAATTTATTTATTTATTACATTTCTTTACCCAGGGTACGCCTAAACAGTTTAAAACAGGTTTCCATTGGGGCCCTGTATTCATTAAACATACTTAAATAACTTAATCAAAGTAAAATTACAAGGAAAAGTGCACATGTGAAACAGACAAATACATACAAATACGAGTTCTAATAGTTGGAAATATTGACACAAATAAAGCTTATAAAAATCATGTTAAACATTCCAGTATATAAGACACGATTTGCTGATTACGGGATGGGCGAAAACCCCGCGAAAACCCAATTGGGAAAAACACGGGGAAATTCCCGATCCGGCTCCAAATTTGGCAACCAAGTTTATAACTCCATATTCAGCGCACTTTTGAACTAGTGTGCTTTTGGCAGAAATATCACCTTTGAGTAATACATTGTTCTGATTTGAATGTACCTATAAGGAAACTGTAGTATTTAGTTCATGCAGATTAAACCATATCAAGTTATTTGCACCACTCACAGCGAAACTTGTAGCATAACTTTCCTTTTTAGTTAGCGAAAGGGTCTTTCAATGCCAGGTTATAGTTAATTGTCTTCTTTCACGAATCTGTGTGAGTGGTGTGAAAAGATTCGTCATGATGAAAGGAATAATGAAAAATTGTGATTGGACTTTTGAAAACAACAATGACATTTTTAGACTTTCAGAGAGTACATAGTTGAGGGGGGTGCATGTAGGCCTACATTTAGATGTCATCCGTGCGGTTCGTTTCAGATTTTGATGCCGTGATATGTACCTTCCCTCCATACAGTACAACAGTTCTCTAAATTTGGTCTAAACTAAGCTTTTAAAAAAGTGTGTGCATGCTGCTTATAATCATGAATTTTGTTTAACATAATTTAGGACGAAACTGTTTTAATTACGTAGGCTACTCAACGCTGGGGCCCAAAATTAATGTTTCTAATTAATGTTTCATCAACAGTAGCAACCAGTGGCACGACCTTTAATATGTTGCCCTCGATATTCACACACTGACTACGAGCACTTAGGTGGGACTTAAACCTATTCATTAAATAAGTTGACATAACAGCTTTTTAAATTTATACAGAAGGTTTTCGGAAGAATCTTGAAATGCGATGGTGTCTTTATATATCCCTGGAATTAGTAAAATGTGACGACTTTTTAAGAGAATTTTATGGAAACTTTCAGGAGCTAGCTATTGTAAAACTCAGTCGATCGTTTCTAAAATTCGTGTTCCTGCCTTAGTGAACATCTGCACTCCGTTATGTTTGTCGTCATCTGCTTACACGAAGCAAGAGAAATCTGCAAAGAGAAAAGAAATATATCTAAGTATTACATTTGTTTATATTCGAAGCACAACCCAACTATCGGATTAAGAAGATATGTAAAAAAAGGAAATTGATATGCCACTTCCCGAAGTCTAAGACTAATTGAAAATGAAGTAATGAAAAATGCACCTTAAGCCGTGTTGCTAAATTACCTCAAGAATTGGTGAAGACTTGCTCTGCAAGCAGGTCATCAGTCCTTCCGTCGGTCCTCCTCCCTGCTTCCGGT